GCCACAACCAATTCCGCATCACAAGTAACATCCAATTCCTGGATGTTTTTTCTCGATTCTTTGGTGTTCTGTGAGTCAGTGTAATGAGTACTCTGCCATTACCGGCGTTGTTTGTATACTCTGTAAATGTAAGTCATTCGTTTATGTTGATTACTTTGTTCATAACGAAGTCAATCTTGTAATCTCCATTTGCAGTGACAAATTTAAACATGTTTAATGTGTTGGATCTGCAGAGACAAGAAGAGGAAAAAAAAAAGAAAAAAAAAGAGAGGAGGAAAAGAATATTGGAACATTATGGGGAAGCAAACGCAGCGGACGTGAGAGTGATGAGGTAGCTTTGCGTTTTGAGTAACCAGCGGCAGCCATTGGTCTATGTAAAGATAAGAGAGCTCACAACCTACTTTAACCTTTAATGATTTCAAATACCACTGAAGAGAAATGGCTTCAAACTTATAGATTTATCTAAGCAGTTTTATTCTAGCTGCAAATTTGCACCCAACTTTTTCTTGGACTTGTTTGGCGAACAAAGATAATTAAAAAAAACACACCAATGCGACTCGTTAAACACCTCTCCTGAATAGCTGTCACACCATTAAATCGCAAGTAGCAGACAAGAATGTATTACTATTCTTTTTTATTTTGTCTGCACCCCATTCTTATCAAAGACAGAAAAAGCTGAAACAATATTGAAATAAAAGTTAAAGTTAAAAGCACTAATAATTACAACCACAAGGAACTCCTCATCATCAGTGCCCACACATGAAAGAAACAAAAAGATTCACCAAAACTTAAAAAACATCTAATTAACGACTCTAATTCCCCGCCATATTCTTAAACTAACTTTTAATCATCAAACACCAAGAACGCCGTCGTTTCGTATCATGGATCCCAGCTCACTAGCTTCTCAAGTCTCCTTTCGTCTGATGATCTTCTTAGACCACCTGATCTGAACCCGACTGGCGCAGCTCCTGGATCCTCCTCACCACCTCCACCATCACTGGTCTCTTGTCAGGGTGCTGCTCTGTACAGTCAATGCCCAGCTGCAGCATTTCTGCCATCTCTTCTTCCACCGTCTCGATACTCATCAGCTCCGAGTCAAAAACCTCATTCCTCCACTCCTCTCTTGCCACCGAATGAACCCACCTCGCCAAATCCATTCCTTCCTCGTTCATCACCGAGTTAGATGGCGCTTTTCCGGTGAGCAGCTCTAGCAACACCACACCAAAGCTGTACACGTCCGCTTTCTGTGATACACGCCTCGGGTCAGTTACTTCGGGGGCACGGTACCCAGTGGCCCGGTTTGGGGTTGTGGATGAGGCGCTGACGAGCTGAGCCAGGCCGAAATCAGACACTCGTGCATCATGGGAGTTTGTTAAGAGGATATTGGAGGACTTGACGTTTCCATGAGAGCTCAATGGGTCTTGTGAGTGAAGGTAATCTAAGCCACGAGCAGCTCCAAGGGCGATACGTGATCGGATTTCCCAGTTCAACGGAGGCCGGCCTGCGCCTTTGTTTCCTGTAACATAGCATGATATTGAGCTCAACACATAAAAAAAAATTATTGTCTGTAGTTCAACACAGGATATCTGGAGTTTTCATTGTTCAAACACAAAACTAGAAGATCAATTGTCCCTGCCAGTCAAGGAATCCAAAGTTATCTACTGTTCCCACTAATTCATAGACGTTCTGTGTAAACCATGTGAATGTCAAGTACATGATATAGATTCTTCACTAAACCATTTCAATAAATCTAATAGAAGCTGTTTACATTGTATTGTGAATTTCAAATCAGTGTGATGCAGTACCAAACTAATCACAGAAAGCTTTGACATATCTATCTTAAACAAGCAAATCCATTACTAATTATGTCGCAAATAAGCCAAGTTTCTTTTTCTGATAAAGCAAAATAAAAATCACAACTTATAAGAGATATATAAGTCTCACCGTGTAAGAGAGCTGACAAGCTTCCCATAGGCATGAAGTCATAGACAAGTAGCTTCTCGTCTCCACTGTAATAGTAAGCTCTTAATGGCACCAAGTTCTCATGATCCATCGCTCCAACAACCTCAATCTTCTCCTTGAACTCTCTGTCCGCCATCGTCACATCCTTCAGCCTCTTCACAGCAACTAATGTCACCGCATCAAGCACAGCCTTATAAGCTGTCCCGAACGTTCCCTTCCCCAAAACCTCCGCAGAAGCTCTCAACAGATCTTCCAGATCGAAAACCTTAGTGGCATTCCCAAAGAACACTAATTTCTTCATCCCTGAACTGTTCACTTCCACGGCTTTCATCGCAGCAGGGTTGTACTCGTTCCCATAGCTCCCACTCTCCGGTGCGTCCACGGCCGTTTTCTCGCCGGGAATTTCGACTTCATGTTGCTTAACAGTGGCAATGTCGACGGCCCTTGTCCTCTCGTTTCCTCCCTTTTTCCGGAAGAGAACCATCAAAATCAGAACAATCAGGGAAAAACCAACCACACATCCAATAACAATTCCTGCTATAGCTCCACCAGAGAGCTTCTTCTTTTTCTCCTTCCCCTTGCTTCCCTCCAGAGTTCCAGGTATGTTCCCGACAGAAATTGGCTGGCTTGGCACAGTTCCTTCGTTAGAGCAGACACCAAGAGGTTTGCCACAGAGAGAGGTTCCCACAAACGAATCAGAGTCAAATTTCTGAAGAGTCTCAGGTATAGATCCGTTCAACAAGTTATTAGAGACGTTGAACTGATCCAAAGGCAAATCCAAGTCAAGAAGAGAGCCAGAGAGCTTGTTGTTCTCCAGGTACAGAGTCTTAAGCCTAGTAAGGTTTTTAAAACCTGAAGAGATCTCGCCGGTAAACTCATTCTCCGCAAGATTCAACCTAACGAGGTTACTAAGACTAAACAAAACCTCAGGAATCTCACCGGAGAATCTGTTACCCTGCAAGTACAAACGCCGAAGATCGGAGCAGCTGCCGAGATCCAAAGGGAGAGTACCAGTGAGAGCATTGAGACGGAGACTGAGCGTACGGAGCTGAGTTAAATTACCGAAAATACCCTCAGGAATATGACCGGAGAGGGTTTCGCCTGGAAGACGAAGGGCGGTAACACGACCACCGTCGCAAACGACGCCGGTCCAGTTGCATGGGGTGGATAGTTTGACGTCCCAGAGTAATGTACGACCACCGACGGCGGAACGAAGGGAGAGAAGAGCGGATTTGTCGGCGGCGAGATCTCCGATTGACGGAAGAGGAAGAGTGAAGAGGAGGAGGAGAAGGGAGAGGGATACGAGGAGATTATTGGCCATGGAAGAGGTGAAGAAGAGCCGCATTGTAAGAAACGAGAGAGAGAGAGAGAGAGAAACCCTAGAGAAAACAAAGCAGCTCAGAGTGAAGAAGCTGTGTGTGTGTGTGTGGTTTACAGAGAAGAAGAGAAAAGAGAGTGAAGCTAGTCAACACTTAACACTTGACACTCTCTCTCTCTCCCTTCTTTTTCTTTTTCCTTTTTTTAAAAAAAAAAAAGAAAGAAGTTTTTTATAATATTTAAATATTGTAATTGGTGTGTAAATGTGACAAAATCGACATTTCTAAAACAACAGTGACGTATGTCTTTTCTTTGCTTCGACAAAAATATTTGTTTTTTCTTTTCTTTTCTATTATTGGTTTTGTGTTTTACTTACTTAGAAATTAGAATCTTATGTTATCTACATATATCTCTCTACCTGTACTGTCTTATCTAATTGTTACTCCTATATTATTACTAAAAAACTCTCATTTTCTAAACAGTTAAAAGATACAGATTAACGAGTAAATTAAGCAAGTGGGGGTGTTTATGGAGAAACGTAACACAAAGGTACTGAATAAAAGAAATAGTAAAAAAAATGAAAGAGTTGTGATAAAATGAAATTCCCTGCATCTGAGTAAAGTGAGAATCCATCCCTATTCTCAAGATAACGCTTAATTCTATGAATTTTTCTTCCTTCTTTAGTAAACTTGATTTTTGTTTCTATTGGGAGAAGCTACTACTAGTATTATAGTAATGCATATGGGGGGTTGTAGTAAAAGATGAAACAAAAAAAAAGAAAGAAAGAACATGGGTATGCAGTGGAAGGGTAGGACCATTATAACATGTAAAAAAGCCAGCAACAATTATTTAACCCCCTCCATTCCAAGTCTTTCTTCATTTTTATGTTTTGTGATTGTCTACATTCTTCTGTTATCAAACTCGATATATGTATTGATTGGTCCCCCATTAATTCTTACTCACTTTACCATTTTCTCCATCCATCAAATAATTCATCTCATGGTCCACAGAGTAAATTATTTATAATTTGATTTCAATATTTGCATCATTCCACAACCAAACAAACAAAAACACACACACAATGGTCTTTTAGTGATAATGTAGTTGAGCGTTACACTTTTGGAACGGAAAGGCAACGGCTACAATTACAAGTTTAGATTTGTAATCTTGCTCTTCCACCAGTCTCTGAGGTGATTCAACTGTAGTAACTTCGATCGCCAACATGTGTGGATTAACCCACAGTTTCGTACTTGTGTTTTCCTCTCTCTATATCCTTTACTATTTTTATTTTTTTACTTATAGATATATAGAAGATAGATAGTAAAGACGTTGTTAAGTCATAAATTCATAATGTAAGTACTAAGTTTAGTAGCTCTGTTTGTTTTATGAGACTGAGACCCACTCTCAAGCGATCGATTCGGACTTTATGGATATATGCGATTATGGGTAACCTTTTTCTTGATTGCATAAAAAGCTTCTCTTTAAACTCAGTTTACAACTTACAACACACACACAAAAAAAAAAGTATTTAAAGTTCTCTAATTTTTACAATGTTGTCCTCTCACACTATACATGTATGTACTACGAAATCTCCATGTACTCCATAAATTCTCAACACCTCCGCATTTATTTTTACTTTTATCAAATTCAATTTATTCAACGTCAGCTGTATCACGGTTTTAGCCGGTTTAGCCTACATAACCATTGGTCATGTACTAATATTCGTCGTATCACAACTCCAAACCATATATATTCAAAATGATATAACATACATACAATATCATATATCTTATGTGACAAAACAAATTCAACCTAGAAACTATCTAGAATTTGTGTGGCAACACAAAGAGCCTTTTAAATCTGGTAAAAGCTCTCTGTGTTACTTGAAGTTAAAGTTCTTCATTTGGGTTTCAAGATACTAAGGTTCCTTCTTTTGTTTCAAGCGCTTACCCTTCTTCTGAACCAACGCAACAGCCGAGGTTATAACGCACAGAGCCAAGAACGGGAGAATAATTGAAGTCTCTGCCGCTTTCATTCTTCGTAGTGGCCATGATGGGTTCAAGCTCATAGTCCCAAATTTTGCTCTTGAATCCTCCGGTCTACAAAACACGTCACGTTTAAAACTATACTATATATTTGACCAGGATTCATGGACAAGGCAACAATGTTGTGTCCTTTGATGAACTGCTGGGAAAGGTTTCATGAGATTACCTTATGACATTCTTCACTTTATGCCACCAAGACCTTTCTTTTTTGGGATCTGAGTTAAAACTATGCTCTTCTTGACGAGTATCTACAATCGAGGATTACAAAATTAGCTTCAACATTTTGTTTCTTAACTATTAGTTTCTGAAATAGATCGAATAGCGCTGTACCAGTATTACTGGTAGATCTTCTGAGTGACGAGAATTCCTCTACCAATTTGCGCTCCCTCTCGCTGCCATTTACGTTGTTTCAAGCAGTTTTTAAGTAAGGAATGCGACATAAAGGACTAAAAGGGAAGCAATGTGACACAAACCTCAGGCTTTTGGGGATCGAAACCTTCACTACAAAGCAATGGTCTCCCCGGATTGCAGGTCTATCCGTGTCTGGAACTCCTTTTCGATATAATTTCACGGTGTCGCCAGGCTGAGTTCCTGGGGGAATACGAAGATCCATTGTTCCCTCAACCGTTTCTACCTGAAAAAAGAAAGATGTCATGCCTTCACGATTCTCACTACTGAAAAATGTCAAAAGCGAAAAACAAGTTTATAAATACCTTTGTGATTGCCCCAAGTATAGCATCTGTGAAATCGATGTTGATATTGGAGTATAAATTAAGCCCTTCCCGGCGAATTCCACGTTTCCCATCAACTTGAAGCACGATGAACAAGTCACCAGCTCTTCCACTGTGGAAATTAGAAACCATATTGAAAAAGCAATTGCAAAGCACTACATAACAGAATTGGAAAATAGCAGATTCTTCTGTACCTTCTTTTGTCCACGTTACCTTCTCCTTGAATCCGCATTGTGGCTCTATCGCTGACACCAGGAGGGACAACAACATCCATTTTTTTCATAGACCGTAGTCTCCCATTGCCTACGCACTTTCGACACTTATCAGTGATGATTTTGCCTTCACCGCCACATTTGGAGCAAGTGGACACCTATATAACACAGATTATCATCTATGGCAAATGTCACGGGAAATTTAAATTTCCATTTTAAGAATAGCAACAGATCGGAATAGTATTCAGGTATAATGAGTTACCTGGGACATGATTCCAAAGGGTGTTCTCTGAGTGCTCATCACACGCCCTTTACCATCACAACTACTACACTGTTTAATGGCGGAACTGGATTTAGCACCTGTTCCTCCACAACCATCACATGTTTCTAAATAAGAAACCTCAATCTCTCGTTTCACTCCAAATACTGCCTCTTCAAAGCTCAACCGCAGGTCAAACCTATTATGGACATCCCCAAACATCAAAACAGAAACAAAGATTATGATACATAGATAACTTCCTCCATTTTCAAGAAAAGAAGACACAATCAACAAACAGAGAAGACCGGAAATAACCATAACAACTGATTTCATCTACCTAATTATCGCCAGTAAACAAGTAAGGACAGAAATGAAATGCCAATGAAATGTACCGAATGTCAAGGTCTAGGCTTCTCTTATTCATAAAATCAAAACCCATCCCTCCTGATTCACCCATTCCCCCAAAGAATCCATCAGAATCTCCAAAGAATGCACTGTACAAATCAAATGGATCCACCTAAAGGATGGGACAAAAGAATTAAGAAGGTCATTATATGATTAAAATATTTCAGAAATCATTAGAAATTTCGTCATAGAGGACTTACCCCTTGAGAAGAAGTATCCTGTGATCCATTAAAACCTCCTTCTAAACCTGCCTCACCAAAGCGATCATACACGGATCTCTTCTCCTCATCAGATAATACCTACACATATGCTTCATTCCCCAGGTGCAATAAGCAACAAAACATCACAAACGAAAATGCAGATTCCATAAAAAAAAACTAAGCATTTCAAAAAGATGACAGAAGTTGTGTTACCTCATAAGCAGCACTAATCTGTTTGAACTTATCTTCTGCACCAGGGTTCTTGTTCATATCCGGGTGATACTGTTCCACAATTACAAACCCTAAGCTTCAATTCAATTCGAGAAAGAACCTTAGTAAGAAAAAAAAGGCAGATTACGAAGAGTAACCTTGCGCGCGAGTTTTCGGTAGGAGCTCTTGATCTCCTGCAAGGTAGCGTTGCGGTTGACTTTCAAAGTGGAGTAGTGGTCTGTCCCGGCGGCCATGGTGACCCCACGATGGCGATTTCCGCCGGAAAACCCACATTTCCGAACACGCAAATAAATCGGTTGAGAGGGAGGAAAATAGAATGGCGCATTGGGTAGAGGAAACTGATGACGGAAGCTATGAGCTGGGTTTATAGACGGAACCAGTGAACAGCGAGCCATTTCATATCCCACTCTCGAAACCACCGGACTCCTGAGAGAGAGAGGGTTTTAACGTGGTTTTTGCTCAGTAATCAATCTACACGGCGACATTTTAGAATTGGGCAAGATAGAAGAAGCGATGTCATTTTTTAGCTGGTGTAGATTTAAATACTTTGGGCCTAAAAGCTTCAAGCTTAATTACCCAATAAGGCGGCCTTCTTATAAATAATAATAAAACGATATGTTTCTTAGAAACAAAATAAATAAAAAAAGAATTTAATCCACACAAAATAATAAAAAGCAACGAGTGTTTTGCATGCCGATATAAGTTCAATGAATCATCATCATCATTCAAACCTAAGGGCACATCTAAAGGGAGGTGCTTAGTGAGTTTCATAAGTCTATTGTAAACAAAAAATAAATCAAAATTGAACAATTAAATAAAGGGAGAGTCTAAACTAAGGGGTTTTAGAAATTGTGTTTATGGGTACTTAAAGACACATGGCAATTACTCATTGGTAAAAAATATATTCATCTCTTTCTCTTTCTATAATTCTTTCTCCCTCTAACATTTTTATTTAATTAATTTTTATTAATGAAATGTTGTTAAGCATTCTTTTAGAGTTTCACAAATGGAGGTGGTCTAAAGACCTAATAATGCGTATCCCAATTCAAAGAATATAAAAGTTACCTAAACAATTGCTTTTTTCCATTGTTACCTAATGGAATTTGTGAATCGGAATCTGCATTATAAAAAAGGTTCAGGACACTTTTTTTAGTTTTTTATACTTTGAATAGCCAATCATCGTATGTTTCCTTTTTGGTTTAGGTCGACAACAGCGATCATAACTTTAGATATTTTCCATTTCTTTAACTTAAAGTGGAGTCAAGTGGGTTGGGGCGTCATGATTTTTATTAATTTTTATTTTACTTTATAAGGAACGTTTTGCAAACGGCAGCACTAAAATTAAAGTGGTGTGTCATACTACTATGCACTGAGGTACTTAACAATGTACTTGTTGTGTGTTTTGTATGACTTTTGCCAAAAACTTAGGAAATTGCTAAACTTACTTCTTTTCGTCATATTATCTGTTTTTTCTTCTAATTTAGTAATGTCCATTATGCTTAAGTTAACAAGTAAATGCGTCACGAGTCCACTAATTGCTCCCACTCACAATAAATAACAAATAAAATATCATAGAAAAAGTTTATTTTGACTTTTCCTACCATAGCTAGTTGTGAACTTCAATGCATGATATGAGTATAGTACAGAGCACGTGACGAGCATTACGCTGTTCCCACCTAATAATACTCCACCACCCTTCGTCTTCGGAATTTAATCTTCTACTACTTAAATATTTTATTCATAAGTAAAGGTCACATGCCAAATAGTAATAATATTATTGCCAAGAATATTCGACATTATCTATATTCGCAAAATCTTATCCAACACCAACAACTACTAAACCCCGACTAGTTCAACCTCCGACGCGCCGGCCGAACTTAGTTGTTATTATCTTTACACAATAAACTAATTAACAAATTTACTAAATAAAACACAACCTTTTTTAACCTTAAGAATCGCTTATTATTAATTAATTATTCGAAACAAACCACATAATGTTCACAAAATACGCCATTATAAGAATTATTTTAATCGGAAGGTGCAATCAAAAGGGGAAAAAAAAAAAGAACAACGAAACAAAGGCAAATCAAATGGCATCAACCGAGGATGGTGGTTTCAGCGATCATGGAGGTGACAACATAAGGATCCATGTTAGAAGCTGGCCTTCTGTCCTCGAAGTAACCTTTACCTTCCTTCTCCGTGTCACGTCCCACTCTAACCGAAGCTCCACGGTTCGCAACTCCCCATGAGAAGGTGTTGATGTCTGCGGTTTCGTGCTTCCCCGTGAGACGACGCTCGTTGCCTTCACCGTAAGCAGCAATGTGTTCTTTGTGTTTCAGCTGAAGCTTCTCTATTGCTTTCTTTATCACTTCTAACCCTCCATCGTTCCTCATCGTCTTTGTACTGTAGTTGCAGTGAGCTCCAGCTCCGTTCCAGTCACCCTGAACCCATTCAAGAATGTTACAACGAAAACTTCACTTATGGTTATTAAGTATCAAGTTGAGTATGAAACTAACCGGGACTGGTTTTGGGTCGAAGCTGACATTTACACCAGAGATCTCAGTGATCCTCTGCCAAAAATAGAAGATGGCATTAGCAAATTTTAAAGCTTTGTACTCGTATTAGGACCCTGTTAAGTAGATTTTTACCTCGAGAAGGTATCGAGCCACCCAGACTTGATCACCAGAAGCAATACCCTCAACAGGACCGACTTGGAACTCCCATTGGCCAGGCATGACTTCTCCATTGATACCGGAAATGCCAATACCGGCGTAAAGACAGGCCTTGTAGTGTGCATCCACAATGTCACGACCAATGGCCTTGTCAGCACCCACACCACAGTAGTAAGGTCCCTGTTTCAAACAAAAAAAAAGAAAAGGAAGTTGTTAATAGTTTTAGATCATATTTCAATATGTGTTGTGAGAACATTATGGTGATTGGATTTTACCTGAGGGCCAGGGAAGCCACCAACAGGCCAACCAATAGGCCAGTTCACATCCTTTTGCATCAAAGTGTATTCTTGCTCAATCCCATACCTTGTGAACAACAAAGGGAGACAAGTAGCATATTATTTGATTTGCAAAGGGACCAATAAAACTACTAATCTGAGACTGATAGATAATATATAATAACAAGAAAAGTGTACCATGGCTCCTCAGAAGCAACGTTGGGGTGGCTGAAGATCTTAGCAGCGTTGTGCCTCTTGTTTGTTGGGATTGGATCACCGGCTGGTGTGTAAGCATCACACATCACCTGCATATATCACAATCATCAATAATCTAATATCTAGCTAGATGAGATCCAAAATTGAATTTGTCACAACAATCATGTCACAACATGTCAAATAAACCCACCAGAATGTTGTTGCCTTTCCTGAAGGGATCCTTGAATATCGCCTGAGGGCTTTCGATTCATCAACAAATATAAACATACACACACAAAGCAAGTTCAATATTAAAATATGAATTTTTGTTTAAGCGTATTAAAACAGAGATAGATGATCGAAGAGCATACTATAGAATGACTTCACTGTCTTCTCCGGCAGCCTGACCGGTGCTGGATCCGTCGTAGTTCCATTTGGGGAGCTTTGAAGGATCACTTACTGGTCCTGGTAGTGTCTGTATCATTCATACACAAATCAGATCAACCAAAGAAACCAAAAACAGAGGATGAAATAAACAAACACAAGGAGATTTATATTAAAAAGTACCCTGGCTTTGCTTCTAATGTCCATTCCAGATCCACCGATCCTGTTCATTAAAAAATTCATACAAAAACTTAACAAACCAACGAGAAGACAAAAAAAAATAACATAAAAAGAGACAAGCTTTATGTTTATACACGTCTTAATCTAACGCAGGACAGCGAAACATTCTGTGTTATGAATCGTGTTCAATATCAAAACCCATCAAGAGATCAATATCAAAATAAAGAAAGAGATAAACTTTTCGATCGCAGCAATAAGAAGAAACAACGATAAAACGAGAGTCATGGTGAGAGAGAGAGAAACAGAGAGAAGAGAGATCGAACCATATGTATTCAGCGATGATTTTCTCGGTGGCATCAGTGAGGTTGAGGTTAACGAGATCTGAGAGCAGAGACATGGCGGCGTCGGAGAGAAAAATATCAATCAGTGTGTTTAGGGAAGAGACGATCAATACAACTTCTCTCCTGAGAGTGTGTGTTTATAGAGCTCTATTTTTTTTTCTTTTTTTCTAAATATAACAATTATAGTCAATACATATTTTAGTAAATTTGGTAAATTCTTATTATTATTTTTTTTGGTGGGGATTTGGTAAATTATTTATTGTTTGTGCCAATATTATCTTTAAATATTATTTAATAATAATTAATTAATAATATATCCTTTAAACTTTTTTTTTCCAGTTAAGATTCTCCTGAGATTACAGATTATAACAACAATATTCTCAATTACAAGAGTTTATACACAAAACGGAACTAACATGCGTTACGGCATAGTATTAGTAATCATACTAAATATTTCCACTTTTGATATTCAGACGATCATTGCACACTTAAACTACCAAAAAAAAACAACCAACTAAAAAATTATTTCCGAGTTCCAATCATTTTGTTTTTACCACAAAGCTGTTTATGTGTATATATATATATATATATATACTTGGGACGAAATATATGGAAAAAATAACAATTATTGATGAACACGTAAACGTAGGTAGGTAGGAATAGGCATGACCAAAAGCTAACCTTAACCGTGTTTTTAACTGTAACCGGACCGTTTATCAACCGTAACCAGATCGTAACCGGACCGTAACCGTATAAAACGGTTAAAAATTGTAACCGTTAACCGTAAAAGTAAATTAGTTACGGTTAAAAAATAATAATAACCGTAACCGTTAATTAACCGTAACCATAATTAACCGTAATTAATCGTCGGTTAACCGTACGGTTAAACGCTCGGTTAACCGCATATTTAAATTTTTAAAATAAATTATATTATAACTGTATACAATACCCAGATTTAACTAATTCACTATAAATAATTGAAATCACATATATTTTTTACTTGTAAAATAAATAATATTTCATAAAATTTTATCTCCAATATTAATATTATAATAATCATCAAATAACCGTAACCGTATATAACCGTAACCGTAATTAACCGTAACCGTATATAACCGTAACCGTCTTAACCGTATATATAATGATTAAGGTTATGGTTAAAAAAATTATAACCGTTAACCGGTGATTAATTAACCATAACCGCATTAACCGTAACCGTGGTCATGTCTAGGTAGGAATAGAAATGAAATGACTTTTTTCAAATACAGCTTCTATAAAGTTGTGGGCACTTTTGTCTTTTTCGTAAATGATATTTTTCCCGTAAATCAAATTTTCTCACAATATAGCATTTGTTGCCTTGCTCGCATCAAATCAAACTGATGTGCATAACAAAATAGGCATGATTATGACTAGCCCTGGGCGTTCGGGGGCCCGTTCGGGCTCGGGCCGGGCTTTTCGGGTTTTCGGGTTTTCGGGTTTAGACCTCTAAAGCCCATTCGGGTATATATATATCTTCGGGCGGGCTCGGGTTCGGATCGGGTTTTTCGGGTTCGGGTTCGGTTTTGTTTCGGGTTCTTAATAACAACTATTCTTAGCAAAGAGGAAGAAAAAACATTAGTCACTTAACCAAACAAGCAGAGAAAGTTAGACCCTTTCTACTTTCAGACCAGCAGCCTCCATCGTTCATTGAACATCTTGCAGGTCCATAAGCTGGACCAAGAACAAGATAAAGAGAAATTTATAAGATCACTGAACAAAAGTGTACAATGAGAGAAAATAGAAAGAAAAAAACAGAAGCTTCAAAAACATACGCTTGCAGGAAGTATAACCATCTCCTTTATATTGAACACCATTCACGACATGGAACTCACATACTCTTCCCCTAAATATGTCCTAATAAGATTCATGCAATCTATAAAGAAGAGATGAAAAATTAAATGACTTAAATATACAAGTGTGTGGCTGCGGGTAATGGCAACAATGTCTTGATAGGAAGTAGAGCTAGAACCCACAACTCAAAGAAGCATGTGTATGTATATAAACCCACTTTGGTACAATGCCACGTTCATGAGTTGTCTCAAAGAAGCATGAGCTTCCTTACACACGTTCATGAGTCAAGCAAATTATTTTAAACACTTATATCTTCTTTAGTTTCCCAAGTCATCTCTTGTCTTCATCTAGTGATCCAAACTCTCTAATTATATATTTATATGTGTAAGAAAGAATCTGTTTGACACATTTGGGACAGATCTACATTTGACCCACCAGAAATATATAGAAGCGAATAATCACACAAGCTCTATACTATATTATATCAAAAAAGGCATCTCTTAGTCATAGTCACATTTTTTTTCCTGACAGAATCATTTGATAAATGTGATACAGATTACACAGATCATAGAACAAGAAGATCATCTACAAAAGGGTCTAAACATAGAAACCAAAAGAGTTACAGAGAACATATATAAGAACACAAATCATATATAAGAACACATGATTCCAATCACTCCATTATATAAGAACACACGATTCCAAGACTGACTCCACTAAACGCTACTAAGAACACACGCTTTATAAATCAAACTAACAACAGACGCTTCAATACTAAGAAGTAAGAACAAAAACAAAAAACGCAGAACACACTGAATTCAATAAACATGGTGCTAGAGAGAGAGACGTACGAGAGAGAAAGACATAGACAAACTAGAAAACTCACTTCAGAATTATTTGTTGAAAACTCAGAGGGAGGAGGAGCATCTCTGGGATGTGAATCCAGTTTGTTTGTTGTATGGAAGCAAATCGATTCAGTTTCTGGGCAATGAAATCTTAATCGATCAACAAAATTACAAAGGCATGAATGAAATCAGGTTTAATCGGGTATGGTCGGGTCTTCGGGTTTACCCGAACCCGGACCCGAACCCGGAAGTTTCAAAACCAAAACCCGATCGGATATCCTCTTTAATCGGGTTCGGGTTCGGTACGGGCCTAACGGGCCGGGTTCGGGTATGGGCTTCGGGTACGGGCTTTTTGCCCAGGGCTAATTATGACCATGTTAATTTTGTACTTATGGAACAAACCAGTTAGTTTAAGACACAAGCATATCATCAGTCGATAAATTTTTCTATTTTCCAAATTTCATCCCTGAAACAAGTCACTTTCCGTTTGATTTGACCAGCTTCCTACTAATCTTGATGGCTTGATTCAATCATATTATCCAGGATCTGACATTGATGGGTTATGGCCAAGTTCCTTTATTATATAGATCACACCTCATGAAAATCCAAGATACATACGCTTTATCCATTAGGAACCATAATAGGTGACCGACCCTTGTAAACGATGGAGGGAATTGTTTGGTTTAAGTAATCATTCCTTTAACCCTTGAGTGGGTCTATGGTGTTATTATGATTGGCCAAAAATTAAGCCAACTTGAAGGAACAAAGAAACTGTTGCTATGGATACAAAGATTTGTACACAAATAGAAGAAGTTTAAGATACATAGATTTAGTTATTTCTTTTCAAGTGAGATTTAACAAGTTGCTTTTGAAACAATTGAAAGGAAGAAGCCTTTTCTCTTTGTGATTTGATTGTGAATGAAGCTGCAGAACCTTTATTGAATATTTGGATGGTCGTCACTTCATCAGGCTAGTAGTAGTAACTTAGTTAGAAACCATACTCTCAGTCTCCTTCACGAACCCATCTCCGGTCCAATCTTTGTCAGATTTCAAGCCTCTCTTCTCTGCTTTTCTCTGCTCAACCGCTTCTTTCTGTCTCTTAACTAAATCTGTGTGTGTTGTAAAGTACTGCAGCGAATGCCTATGCCAACAAACAACACCATGAAATGCTCGGTAAGCAAGCAAACAAGCGGGAACAAGGGTATATATAAAAGCATAAAACAAAGGTTGTTCATATATACCCTCTGAAGTCTTCTATTGTCGAGAAATTGTGCTGTTTCATGAAATCTTGAAGCTCGGCGCAAAGGGTTTTCACATGACCATAACCGTGCATCATCACACCGGTGCATACCTTCCAGCAAAAAGCAGTAACCTAAGTTTCTCAGGGAATAAAGTCTAAAACATAAAAGTGAGGATAGTCACCTGTACAGTATTTGATCCGAGGAGAATGAATTCAGCGGCATCATAGCCAGTTTCAACACCTCCAATACCCGAAAGCGAGTAATCATTCCCACTGAACTCAGATTTCATCATTTTGGCAATGCTCATAACTTTCGCAAGCGCGATGGGACGAACAGCCTTATAAGAGTAGCCTCCTGGAGTCGAGTAACTGCAAAGCAGTAACAACATTAACAGTTCTCGTAATGCATTACAAAGAGTTGCTAAACTTTTTTACATTTATAAGAAGGGTATATAGCTAACCCTTCAACACATGGCTCAGGACGCAGCGTCTTCAAATCAACTCCCATTACACTCATGATTGTATTGATAGCTGCAATGCCTTCACATCCTGATTTTAATGATACCCTAGCAGGCTATTTAAAGATAAAGAAAATGAAAATGATTAAAGCAGAGCAAAACAGAGTAGCATAAAGGTTTTGCATAAACTTGTTCCAGATATTTCATTCTATAAGGATATATATGCTCTAACGAGACTGGTAATAAGACAGCACCAAGGCTGAGAAAGTTAGAAGTCACACCTCTGTTATGTCAGTGATATTAGGAGTCATCTTAGCCCATACAGGAACTGTAGCTTTAGCGTTAATCCATCCGCAAACCTCGTCCAGAAGCGCACAATCTTGTCCAACAGCAGCACCCATTCTGCGCTCTGGCATACCATGAGGACACGAGAAGTTGATCTCTAAAGCATCCTACAAAACAATTATCCAGAACATTTTCTCTTCAATATGTATGCTAATATCAGACAAAGTGAAAAGATCCACAAGGACAAAAAATAAGAATCTGTGTTTGGGGGGGAACTCACAACACCAGTTTGCTCAACACGGTCGATGAGCTCTTCCCAAGCAGTTTTGTTGTATTCCTCCATGATGGAAGCTATAAGGATCCGATCAGGGTACTCTTGTTTCAATTGCTTAAACTCTTTGAGCATGGTTTCGAGAGGTCGGTCACTAATGAGTTCTATGTTCTGCCACCCAATTACATCTGCTTTGGCTGAGCCATTTGATCCGGTTCGTAGCCGGGCATATCGAGGTGTGACGTTGATAACTTTGGATGCATCTAGTGATACCTAAATCATTCAACCACAGTTTCAGACCAAACTCAGTCAATCAGTCATCATCATCATCATGCACAAAGACAAACACACCTAAATCCTCTGTTCTTGGTACTATGATAAGCAGAATCAAGAACTACAAACCTATTGACTACTTCTGAAATCAGAATTCGAAATCTTGATATAGTCAACGCAGAACAGATTCAATCATCATCAAAAGTCAAACCTCAATTTTCTAAGGAGCCAGATCGAAGAAAGAGAGCTTACGGTTTTGGCGATGACGGCTCCCCAACCTTCATCAAAGGCTCTCTTCATGACGGTGTAGTTGGTACCGGGTGGACCAGACCCGATTACGAAAGGATTTGGCATTTTCAAGCCATTTACAGTGACACTGAGATCAGGCTCAGATTCGGCGGCGGCAGCAGCAGAGATCCTAAGACCAACTCTAGTTGGCGGTAGAAAACTCCGGCGAGAGGAAGGATCGAAGTCAGCTGATAAGCTGGTTTTAGAGGCGAGACCAGAGAAGCGGTTCAAGGCGAAACTCATGGAAGCCATGATTACAGATCAATCTGGAAAATTGCACAACTTATATCGAACTTGAGACGTGAAACTCAAGAATTATGCAAGAGAGAGAGAGAGAAGAAAACACGCAACAAAGTGTTTAAAGGTGATTTGGAAATGTGTGAGGTTGTTTGATCAACTCGAACAAGTTAAAGAAGAAGAACCTTAAGAGAGAAGAAGATAGGTAAGAGAGAAAGAGTGTGTTGCAATAATTGGTCGGTTCTTCAACTTCATGCCACGTGAAAATAATTGCAAGGTTTTGTAACGTAAGTTCCTAAAGTCTAATTTGATTAATGAATCTCCGAATAATTATAGACCCATGATCATTGTATTTAACAATATATTTTCATCTCTGTCTTATCTCTTTGTTTTTTTGGGGGATAAAACTTAAGATTCTCTGTCTCTATCAACAAATGCTTAATTACCAACAAATGTGAAGAGATGGATATTTTTTGGGATTACTCAGTTTATAACGCCGACTGAGAAAAAAAATAAAAGACTAGAGGAAATTGCGAACACGTAACGGAAGCCACCGTGAGGCTAAGGTTGTTTCTAGAGAAAAGAGTCAATTGGGGGCTAGTGGCCGTGGGGGTAAATAGCCCATGCGTCACAAAACATGCCAATAACGTATTAATAATGATACGTGTAAGTGGGAATGGACACAACAGCAGTTGGTGGCTCTCATCGTTTGACTCTACAGTTCTTTCTCGTTTAGTTTACGCAAATAGTAAAAATAATTAAAGTTAAAAAAAAACCTAGAGATGTGCCAAATATGATCCAAGCTTTAATACCAAATCACCAATTGACGAAATTAATTTATCAAGTCACCATGTAAATTCTAAGAAGTTCTTGGTAGCTCAAAAAAAGGAAATAAAAATGTGCTTCAAAGACTTTATGATTGACTGTTAAGAACTTAAGATTTTTCTTTCCGAACTTTCTAGTGCAATTTTTTAGATATTGATTTTATTGTACTCAAAATCTTTGAAATATACAATACCAAAAAAAAGAAAGAATTATTCGATTTTATAATATCGTTTTTTGTACAAGGAAGGACACACAATGACCACGACCTCATATTAATTTCCATGGTCACCAAAATATGCAGTAAGCGAATAAATATATTTTCTTTGACATTTATTTCATTTTTTATAAGTATAAATAATCAGACTCATCGCGCATTATTTTATTTGTCAAAGAACTAAACCAAAGTCTGTTTACCAGTAATATCAATCGATCGCCATTTTTTCTACATTTCTCTTCTCTCTCTCTCTCTCTCTCTCAGGCTGTTCTAGAGTTTCTTCTTATCTCCTTTCTCCGACCAAAACTTCGATTTATTTCTTTTCTTTCTACTGTCAGAGAGTAACCATGGATGCCGTGACGGCGAGTTTGGTTCGTTCTCCCGTCTTACCACCTAGAACTTCCGACAACAGTTCTGGATCTATGTTCCTTACGGCCAGTGGCCCTGGGTTCACCCGTTCTGGTTCAAGACTTCAACTTCGTTTCAGGGTATGTCTCTAATCTCTTACTCTTCATTCTGTTAACCGATTATTCTGATCCGGTTGTGTTCAAATCTGATTTTAACCTGGAAATTCCAAAAAGTCAATTTATTTAAGGATTTTCACACCTTGAATGTTCTTGGTGGTTTTTAAATGTGTTTTTTTTTTATCAACTTGCAGCAAAACGCGTTGCAAAACTTAACAACGACTGCTAAAACTCGGAGGAGTTTTGTGGTTAGAGCTTCAGCGTCTAGTGATGCTGCTTCCTCTGGTTCTCCTCCCAAACCGATCGCCCCGCTTCAGCTGGAGTCGCCTGCTGGTCAGTTTCTGTCTCAGATTTTGGTGACCCATCCTCATCTTGTGCCTGCAGCTGTTGAACAGCAGCTTGAGCAGCTCCAAACTGATCGGGACTCTGAAGGACAGAACAAAGATGCATCGTCCGTACCTGGAACTGACATCGTTCTTTACAGGTTTGTTACAATCTGTGAACACCAGGTTACTATTTTGATTACCATACGGACCTGATCAAGTTGGAACTGATTCCTGACAACTTTCATTGATCTTGATATAAAACCTTGCTTTAGGTCGTAAGTGAAAGAGATGTTTTTTGTGCTTATCTGTGTGTTATAGATATAAATTCCATAACGAATTTGATTAGTCCTGATATTGTTACTTTGGACAATTCAGTGACTAGTAGTATGGTTCTGGTCCATTATCTGTCTTGGAATTTGAATACGAGTTTGATTATGAGAATTGTTTTTTTTTTTTTTATGTGGGTGTAGGAGGATTGCTGAGGTGAAGGAAAACGAGAGAAAAAGGACATTGGAAGAGATTTTGTACGCATTGGTGGTTCAAAAGTTCATGGAAGCGAACGTATCACTTGTACCATCAGTAACCCCATCTTCTGATCCTTCTGGTCGGGTTGATACCTGGCCAACAAAAGTAGAGAAACTTGAGCAGCTTCACTCCCCCGAGATGTACGAGATGATTCACAACCATTTGGCCCTGATTCTTGGGAGCAGAATAGGTGATCTGGCCTCTGTTGCACGGATAAGCAAGCTCAGAGTTGGACAAGTTTATGCTGCTTCTGTGATGTATGGATATTTCTTGAAGAGGGTGGACCAAAGGTTTCAGCTTGAAAAAACCATGAAGATTCTGCCAGGTGGGCTGGATGAAAGTAACGCAAGCGTTGATCAAACAGAGGGGCCTAAGACATATCAGGCTGTATCCTCTCACCCAGAGGTTGGTTCATTTGCGGGCGGAGTTAGCGCTAAGGGCTTTGGCAGCGAGATTAAACCATCCCGGTTAAGGTCATATGTGATGTCGTTTGACGCAGAGACGCTTCAGAAGTACGCCACTATAAGATCAAGAGAAGCAGTTAAAATCATTGAGAAGCACACAGAGGCATTGTTTGGTAAGCCTGAGATCGTATTAACACCGGAAGGCACGGTCGATTCATCCAAGGACGAACAGATAAATATCAGCTTTGGTGGGATGAAGAGGCTTGTCTTGGAGGCTGTGACTTTCGGATCGTTCCTTTGGGACGTAGAGAGCCATGTGGATGCAAGGTACCAGTTTGTATTGAACTAAAAAAATTGGTGTGTAATGGCAATTGACTAACTTATGTAACATTAAGAAGATACCCATTAAGGGTATCATTACAGTTGTATCAAAATCAGAGGAAAAAGACCGTACATTTTATATGATATTGTGATGGGATAAGCTAGAGCTAAAGATGATAGGGATGCTAAACTAAGCAGGAAGCCTACCTAGCCTGCAATAGGACTTAAAATTTCTTAAATGTATGGTACAAAAATTACAAAGAAGCCAATTTTATTAGGCATATTTCCTTCAAACCGAGGAATGAAGAAGTTGTTTAGAAGTAACCCATTTGTGCAAAACCTCACCAAAGACATCGTAGAAGACAATCTCTGCGTCTGAGTGAGTGAACCGAGCGGACATGAATCCCTGACCATCGTAATAGAATTTCAAAGACTTGGGATTGTTGGTGATAGGGTCAATATCTCCTCTCCAAGCCTTGGATCCAGCACCACTGGTTAGAAACTGAATAGGACTGTCTTCATCACTGATATGTTGAAGACAGTGATCGTGTCCGTTCATGTAGAGATCAACACCGTTCTCTTTGAGAATCGGAAGAAGCTCTTCGTTGAGCTCTTTGGTGTCTCCATGGTGTCCAATGCTTCTCATCGCATGGTGGCCGACAACAATCTTCCATCTGGCTTTAGAACTCTTCAAGGAAACCTCGAGATCACGGAGGAGAGCTTTGACATAAGAGTTGCGAGACGGAACTGCGCGCCAATCGTAAGTGTGACCATCTGCTTCAGTGTAGTACTCTTTCACAAAAGGAGTCGTGTCGACAAAGAACATCTCTACTAACTCTGCGTCGACAACGAATGATCGGAGACAGATCCAACGGCTGTCGATTCCCCGGAGAACAGAACTGAGCTGAGCTTCTGAATCACCTCTATAGTCATGGTTCCCCAAAACTGCATACATTTCATTTGATGAGAAACTCAAACCATAATTTTTAAAGAAGAATTGAATCAGACGGTGTTGGGATTATTACCACTGTACCACTGTTTCTGGAGACTAGGAGCAGTGTAGATGTTAGAGAAAGATTGTTCGAAGTTTGGATCGTGTTCACTAAACAATCCATTGTCATAGAAGTTATCTCCCGTAGAGACCACGAAATCTAAATCAATCTTCTCACCAATCCTTCCCATCTGTAATAAATAAAATGAAGTGCATGATTAATGAAACATGTCCTTGACCGAGGAGAGAATATTGTTAGAATATTCGGATATTAAATGATATAGGGGACTAAACCTGATAGGCGACGATAGACTGATTAAAGGAGCCACGGCGACCCCAATCTCCGATCACTATAAAACTAACGGAACCGTCGCTTTTAGCCGGCTCCATAAATCTTTGGAGCTCACCGTTAGACACCACGACGAGGGTGGCGCAGGTATACAATAGTAGCAAACTCAGAGTCGATCGACGAGAATCCATAATTCTTCACGGCTCACACAATTAGTATTATATATGGGGAAAATTCGAATTTTTGAGGCTTGATGAAACGTAACAAGAGGTTTAATTTGGATCTCTCTCCGGTATATACGAGAGAAAGAGAGAGAAGGGATTAGAGATGAGAAGAAGAGAGAAACGAGAATGGCGAAGGAGACGATGATGAAGGAGGGAGAAGAAGATGCTTTTTAAACCGAAAAATAAATAAAAATAATAAAAGGAAACAGAAAAAAAGGTGCGGTTAAAGATGCTAAAGGATATTCCAACCAGTAGCCGCATCTTTTTTAATTCTTTCGCTCTCGGTTTCTGACATCCACCTCTCATTTTTTTTCTTTTCTGAATCTCTCAGACTCTGAGATTTTGGTTTTGTTTGTGGTAATATCGAAATTGTATTACATTAAAAACCCTAAGTTTAGGTTTTGTGTTTTATTCTTTTTAGTAAAAATACAACAAAGTTGTGGTTCTGCGTTTTCGGTGAAAATAACAAAGTTGTGGATTTTTATCGTTTAGTAACTTGTTTTATGATGAAAATTCAGAAAACGGCATGGGGTCTAGATTTTTGATAATAATGAATTCTTGATGTTGACTAGATTTTCATTATTATCTATAAGAAGGATATTTGGGGAAACATTATGTGCTTAATCATGATTGGGTTTTGATTATTTAATTATAGTAGAAACGGTTTCGTCACGACATGGTGTTGCTATTGGACCACATACTTCACTTTCAGACAAAGTTTCAACAGCGGACAGCCCCGCTATAACCTCTCATATGTTGACATGTCACGTAGCTAACAGTTTAGTGTACACTGTACACTTTCCACTTCCATTCTCTTGCAATTAAGCTAAACTAATACTGTACTTGTCGTTAAATATGTATTTCGTTACTGTCCAGTTTAAGTATGTTGAATTAGTCCGGGCCGTAATAAGTGAGGCCGATACGTAACTAGTAGTTTGAGCGATCTGCCGGACCAGCCCTATAGAGCGGTCGGTCTAGATATAGTGTTCCAGCTGACTCAGTTCGATTTAAACAAAACCAGCATACATGTAGGTCTAACAAGTTTGCTCTGTCGGAGACTGAACCATCAAAGCCAAAACCCAGCTCAGCTTGGCTCTGGGATGGCAATCCCAAGTCAACCTTCATACAATTGCAAATTTTATTCAGACTGATCTAGGTTTTTTGCAACAACTATAATCTGTAAAGGTGAATTCTGGAAGTGAAATAAACAGATCGTTCCTCGAAAAGTAAACCAAAAGTTGCAAAAGGTATAAACACAAAAAGAGTTTGTGAGAAGATATTCTAAAGATATATCAATATGGTTTTTTTTTTTTTTTTTTTGTCATCAAAGATATATCAAAATGGTCTCATTCAGTTTTTGTGAATCTTCGTACGTCCAACACGTATGCGTGTGCCGGGCCGATCTTGATTTTTTGTTCCTTAACATTTTGAATTGATGGGCCTTTTGTGGCCCAATAGTCGACTATGCTAGAGAGACCCACACATTAACTTCCGGTTTAATATTTTTGTTTTTATTTCTTTCACACTTTCGAATGTTTTTCAAACCATAAGAAGTAGCAAGGAATCAAAACTACAGCTAGAACTAGCTAATCACTAAACCATGACAAATGGGACAATTACAAACTAAACTTTCCCATTACCACATATCAATACAATTACGGTGAAAAAAAAAATACAATTACGGTGAAACTTGTGATTGTAACCTCGTAACATAACGTTATGATCATAACTTCCATTGAGGTCTTTGCGAAAAATCAGACAACAATCATCTTCTACAAGACCAGTCAACATCCAAAGTATATAATTTCTGGAACACGTAATTCTAGTAGAAATGAGACGGAGAAGATCGCGATATATATAAAGGGCTACGCGAATGAGAAAAAACTCGTAGAAACAAAGTTACAAAACTTCATCCCATGATAAAGAATAAATCACATGAGTCATAAACATGTGAAGAATAAAGAATTTACCCCAAATCCAGTGTAGGAGTACTTGTACGCAAAGATGGTAACGAGCATTGGTCCTAAAGTTATGACCTGCTATGTTAAAGTGAGCTTTTTCATACAAGCAATATATCCAATATCGCCGGTCGATCAAATAGAAAACCCAACTCCGAGTGAAAATATATATCCTCTATGGCTAATCCATGGCAATAACTATTAGTTCTTTTTGTTGTTTGGCTTTTATAAAAACTATATACGACATGAAAATATAATTTTCCTCTATGGCTAATCTTTTAGGTTCTCATCAGTTCTCTTTTTACTTTTGCCTACAATACTCATCAGTTTCTCTAAGATTTAAATACGTTTGACTTAATTAAAGGTTACCTTATCTCTTTAACGAAATCTAGAAGTAATTAAAATACGATACATATTCTGTAACACTTCGACAAGTGTTCAAATAGATAAGGTAATTATTATTTAAAATACTTTTAGATAAGCTTACTTGTAGAACTTAAGTACTAATTAGATTAAAAAGTTGAAAATGTTACGACACTTTTTTTTTTTTGGGGTCGAGATGTTAGTTTAGGCAATGAAAAAATATTGACTCTAAACTAGAAAAAGAAAATTAATGTAAAATAGTATGCAGAGTTGCAGGCTAAAAATATCATTTAGGATAAGTTTTAAAACTACCAAATATACATATTAAGTTTATCAAGAATGAATGGACCATGATCCCTGGAAAGTTAGTTTTCTGCTTATCTTCTTTTTTTTTTCTTTATCGTTCACATCACGGGGTGAGATGAAATATGGGTTAGATCAAATACATGGAAAGTTAGTTTTGGATAAGAGTTGATTAGAAATCTAAATAGAAAAAATAGTTTCAAAATAAAATATAGAAAGACGAAACTTGTCCAAAAAAAAAGGAAAAAAAGAAAGACGAAACTATGGAAATAGAGGCAAATGAAAATCACATCGAATTTAGAAGCAAATCAATACTTAAAAGTTGACTATAACAAAAAAAAAGGATTTAGAAATAACATAAACTCTAACACAAATTCTAAATATATTCAATTTTTTAATTTTTAGAACAAAATAAATTTTATGTATCATCGAATAGACCAATACAAACACGCAGCGAAACGGCACAGGCGCGCTCGTAGCACACGATAACGTACGTGTATCACGTGTCACCACACAGTGACCATTAAGAGTGTAATTAGGTAATAAATCTATGCCAATAAAGTAATATTACAAATTCGTCACAAATCTATAATCTTATCCACTTCTAATATTGGGCCTGCAAGTCCAATATTACAACTCTTCTGCAACATTCGTTTATAATTTTTTAACTTTGGGTTTTCTCGTACGGAACAAACTCTCCATTTGCGTCTCTCTTCTTCTTGCTTTCTTCCTTTCTCTTCTCTCTCACGCGTTACTCTTGTTGTTGACTCTCTCTCTCTCTCTCATTTCTCTCTGGATTGCCTTAAACCTTCCTCTACAATCATCTCCTCTTACATTCGAGCTTCTCCGATTCTCAGTTTCTGATCGATTCATACTTCAGAATCATGGTTTTCGCGGCCAAGAAATTCATCAACAACCCCAGCGGTTCGTGCTCTTCTTCTTCGTTTTCTCTGCGTTTATCTGTTCGTCGCATCCTCTGTTCTGTTCGGTGGCGTTGTTTTTTTCTTCTGCGTAGACTTAGGTCGATTAGAATTGTGCTCTTGCCAACTGTTGACCTATGTCATCTTTCCCGATTGTGTGTTACTGTTTGCGAAATCCTTTTGCTTAATTGCATTGCCTGTTTCTTGCTCTTATATTCCGCTGTGGTCGATTTCACCACATTTCCCCTCTTAATTTTTGTTCACGATCCTTGAAATGCTACTCCGTCACCGTTGTGTTTGTTGCATGGTCAACACGATGTCTTGATTTCCTTGGCTTAGGTTGTAGTTTACATATTCTTAGCGTAGAACTAGCGGTTTGGGACTTGTGCATTAAGAGAAAAAAGAAGGGTTTCCATTGTGCAGATGTTGTAACTGAGTTCATCGAGGGTCTCGTCGAGACTTATCCTGGACTGCAGTATTTGGATGGATTTCCTGAGGTTAAGGTGGTATTACGAGCTGATGTCGCGGCTGAAAAATATGATAAGGTTGCCATTATATCAGGTGGGAGTTTTTGTGACCTGATGTTATGGGGTTGGTTTTGGATTTTGAAATTCTCTTGAGCAATGCTGCTTTTGTATGCAGGTGGAGGGAGTGGGCATGAGCCTGCACATGCTGGGTACGTTGGAGAAGGTATGCTAACAGCAGCTATCTGCGGAGATGTCTTTGCCTCCCCACCAGTTGATTCCATCCTTGCCGTGAGTATTCCAATGGGATTTTCTATATTTTTTCTTCTGTTTATTTCCATTGAGTGATAATTTTTTCCCCAATGCCAGGGAATTCGAGCTGTAACTGGTACTGAGGGATGTCTCTTGATAGTCAAGGTAGTTAGAGTGGGAAAGAGAGACGCATTCATACAGTTTTATTGTTGCGAGGAACAATAGAATCTTGTCTTTGTGTTTTTTATTAATCTAGTTTCCCCATCAAATCTTTTGACAGAATTATACTGGTGATCGCTTGAACTTTGGTTTGGCTGCTGAACAAGCAAAATCTGAAGGTTACAAAGTTGAGGTAATGCTCGTTACTACTTTTTCACAGTTCTTTAGCCAGACAGAATGATAGGATCTGTTTTGTAGACGGTCATTGTTGGAGAGGATTGCGCATTACCCCCGCCACGTGGTATTGCTGGACGCAGAGGGTTAGCAGGAACAGTTCTTGTCCATAAGGTTTTCTCTCCCTTTCCATCCTTTCTCTAATCACACTCTAAACCAGTTTGTTTCGTTGCATTTGCTGATAGTTGATATTATTATTGTTACTCTATCTTTTCAAATTGTGATGTCTGAGACCTTGGGCTGCTACGGATTGATTTGTTTGTATTGTTTTCACGAGCTTAGAATCAATACGAAGTTCTTAACATAAAGCTTCAAGCATCAGTTTATTTAATTTGCTTCTACTAAGGACAGGTTGCGGGTGCTGCAGCAGAGGCTGGTCTTTCTCTAGAAAAAGTTGCGGCTGAGGCAAAATGTGCATCCGAGATGATTGGTACCATGGGTGTTGCATTATCCGTCTGTACGCTTCCTGGACAGGTTACATCAGATCGTCTTG